AATGGAGGGAGGCTGGGCTGACCTTGGTTCTGTGGGAGAGGGACCAGGGGAGGCAGGCTTGCTGGGAGAGCATAAATATGCCAGATGGAGCCCTGGGGTGGGCGGGGGCAGGGAGCACACCAGTCCTATTTTTCAACTTTTCTCCATCAAGAAGATTAATTGCATATTTTAAAAAATGGCTGATGCAGGCTTAATTTAGCTTTTTATCAGTGCCCAATCGGGCATAATTTTGGGTTATTTTTTCTGCCGTTCCATTATCTTTTTAAATGTATGACTCTTTTTCCAATTATTTTTAGGTGCCCCGTGCTAGGACACAGGTTAGGGGACAGGGCAGCGAGCTTACATGGGGCCGGGCCCTTTCTTCCTGTGCCAGCAATAATACCTGGCACCCAGGCAGTTCCCTTTGTGCCCCCTCCCTTTAATAGATCATATTCTCTTTTGAGTTTTGTAAGTTGGTTTTGTTTTGTTTTGAGACAGGATCTTGGATAACCTAGGCTTTGCTAGTGGCCTAGGCTGGACCTTGACCTCCTGAGTGCTGGATTACGGGGATATGCCACCAGACCCATCTGATTTTGTAAACTGTGTGCAGGTCAGAGGACTGCCTTTGGTTCTCTCCTGCCACCTTGTGGGATCCAGGGTTGGAACTCAGACTGGGAGGCCTGTGTCTAAGTCATCCTACCACTCAGTAAGATTTTTTTTCCCTCTCTCTATGTAGCCCAGACTATTCTGGAACTCTCTCGGTAGACCAGGCTGGCCTTGAACTCACAGAGATCTACCTGTCTCTGCCTCCTAGTGCTGGGGCTAAAGGTGTGAGCCACCACCGCCCGGCTTAAGATTTTTTTTTTTAAAGAGCATTTCTTTTTTTTTTTTTTCCTCTTGTGTAATTGACATTAGTCTGATTTTTTTATTTCCATTTCGATGTGAGAGGGTGCTGTAATGTCCTTCTATTTCAGAAAGGCATGAAGTGCAAGGATTTCTGGCTACGTTGTGAATAACAATCCGGTGAAGTATGTGTATCAGTGACTGAGTCTGCTCTTGCATAAGCCTCAGGAGAGTTCTTTATGGATGGGGTCCTTAGTCATGATCTGGGCAGCACTTTTTTTTTTTAGTTCTGAGGACTGAATTCAGGGCTTTGCACATGCTAGGCAGTTCTCTTAATGCTGGGTTACCCTAGCCTTAGTCAGCGTTCTTAGGCTTACATATTTAGCAGTCGTCAAGGAGGGAAGTAAGATTGTGGCTTCAGAATCAAATAGACTTAGGGTTAGTTCCCGTTCTGACTGTGCACGGCTATGTGGCCACTGACAAAGCATAGTTTCTCCGAGCCTTGGCTTTCTTATCTATAAAATGGGGCTAACAGTACCTACCCTCTAACATTGCTGTGTTTAATGAGGTAATATGTGAAAAGCTGTCACAATTGCCTTTCGTGAGAACGTGATCAAAGATGACATTAGCTTTTCAGAAGATTCTGGATGAGCTGGTATTGGTCTTTTCAGTGATTTCCCCGAGCCTGCACACTCAGCCGCCCGGAGAGATGTTCCGTGGGTGAGCTATGCTCATGGCAGACCAGACTGCTTCTCTTTGTCCTGGTGCGTGCTGGTTTCAGTGCTTTCGTTGTATACGGGTGACTTAAATAACAGGCACCCCAGCGATTGTGCGGCCGACTGTGACTGTATTAGACTGTACAAGATGGGGAAACAGAGTTACTAATAGTTCGTGGAAAGAGGTACTTTGAAGTGGATGCCAGGGTCCTCAGGGTCTGAGCAGAGAATGCAGTCTGGGCTGCATTCCTTGAATTCTCAGGTCATAGGGAGTCCACAGGGTCATTGCTCATGGAGCCGGTCAGGACACAATCAACCTGCTGTTTCTCACACTGCCAGTGTGCTTGAGAGTGGAGGGGTGAGAGTGGGGAGGATGGGGAAACATCAGAGGTACAGAGTGGGGCAGGGAGGCTCAGGGAGGTGATAATGTCTTCCACCCCTGTGCTGGAAGAGGATGAGAGGGACCTTGAGAGTTGGCTGTGGGTGGTGCATCAGGACAGAGCTTGAACCTTGAGTAGAAACACTCTTAACATTTGTGTTTCTTAGTCCGTCCCTTCTCTCTGTGACTTGGCTATTGTTGAACTGTTTGGAAATAGTTGTAGAGCCTGTAACATACTTCTTAATGCTTGTACCTGCATCATCTGAGGATAAGAGCAGACTGCATAACCACAGGGTCAGGCATTTCCCAGTGACGTTGGAAGAGTCTTGTACCAGCTCGACAGTGTCAGCTGGTGTCCAGCTGCACAAGTTTTTGCTTGGGAGGTTGATAACACACTGTAACCACCCTTGGAGAATGGCTGGCAGGGCCGGCCTTGCACACAGGTGGGTGCCTTCCCATAATTCAGGTGAGATCTGAGCTGGAAGTCAGGGCTAGAGTGAAAGGGGCTGATAAGGCTCTTTTGGGGTCACCATAGGTTTCCTCCTGAGCATGGTGCATGGTGGCATTCGGTGTCCTGTGTTATTGAGGGCGTCCAGGAGGTGCCAGACCCAGAGCTGAGTGTGGAAGAGTAAGGCCAGCTGTCGGAAGCCACAGGGGCCTCAAAGGCAGATGGGAGAGGATTGTCAATAAGTAGTTTTGGACTTCTACCAGGAGCGTTCACGTTATGTGTCCGCTTGAATGGGATGCAAGTATCATTCTGAGTGTCTCCATGGGAGTGTTTTTAGATTTAAATTAGTAGACTGAGTCAAGCAAACTGTCTTCATTAATATTCAGTCTTTTTAAAAGCACATATTTAGACTGGGCATGGTGGAGCACATCTTTAAATCCCAGTGTCAGGAGGCAGAAGCCAGTGAATCTCTGTGAATTCCAGGTCATCCTGGTAAGCCACATCTCCAGCTTCATTCAGTCCACTAAAGGCCTGACTGCTACAGGATATCGAAGTCACACCCCACCACCAGCTTGCTATATTTTAGAAGAACTTAGGAAACAGAAGTCGGTAAAGGAAATGAATGTTTACAGTTGAACCCACTTTCTGTCTACCTGGTCTCTACCTGTGCCTCTGGCGATCTTACAGTTAGAGATGTAAACCAGAAGATGTGGAGAGTTACCTGACACACAGTTTAACAGTCCTGGGGGTGGGCAGGGGCGGTACTTGGTCTGTACTATCTGGACGGTGTTAGATGTTTACAAGTCACACTGTTATAGAATGAACAGTCTGAGCCTTTCTGACATAAGAAAGAATTCTCTAGAAGCCCTTTGAATTGGGACAGAGACTCTTCCTAGTTTCCTGGCAACTTTCCCCCATAGGGTTAGAGTCAGGGCATTAGCTTTGCAGATTTTGGACTTGCCAGCTCCCAGAATTACATGACACATTCCTTGTAACACACACACACACACACACACACACACACACACACACACACACACACTCACTCAGTGTGGTAGTTTGAATGTAATTGGCCTGCATAAGCTCATAGGGAGTGGCACTATTAGGAGGTGTGGCTTTGTTGGAGTAGGTGTGGCCTTGTTGGAGGAAATGTGTCACTATGGGGGTGGGCTTTGAGGTCTCCTGTGCTCAAGCTATACCTTGTGAGAGTTCCCTTCCTGTTGACTGTGGAATCAAGATGTGGAACTCTCAGCTCTTTCTCCAGCACCATATCTGCCTGTGTGACACCATGTCCAGCCATGATGATAATGGACTAAACCTCTGAAACTGTAAGCCACCCAATTAAATGTTTTCCTTTCTAAGAATTGGCATGGTCATGGTGTCTCTTCACAGAAATAGACACCCTCACTAAGACACTCCTTCCCCCCCACATACTCACATACTCCCCTACCCCCCACACTCACAGATGTTCTCAAACACACACACACACACCCACACCCACACACCTTTTACCGGTTTTGCGTCTTTGAGGACCCTGGCTAACATACCTGTTTGTGTCAAGCCTTCTGTCACCTGTCACAGTGTGGAGACCATCCCTAGTCACAGCTGCCACAGACTGCCCCGTCTAGGACTCAGTTTGCCTGGACTTGGCCTGAGGGGTGGGTGACGCAGGCACAGGACTCCCTGGGCCCTGGAAAGGAACCTGGGTGTGTTCTATAGGCTGGCACCATCCCTGGTCAGTGTCACCGTTTCTGCCTGCTCCTCGTTTTGACTGCGCCTCTATTTGCTTGGTATATTTCTGTACCCATTCTTTAAAAACAACAACAAAACCAAAACTGTTTTAAACATAATACCTATGAAATTGGGATTTTTTTTCTTACCTGTGTAGGTAAATATTACATCATTGTGATGAAAAGATGTCCATTCATAGGCTGCTTAAAATAAACTCAAGTAGCTATTCCACATTTTTGAGAAAAGTTGCCAGAGTAACAAGGTATGGGGATGAATACTAAGGGGATTTGGAGGGGACTGGGTTCCCTGACATTTATGTTTCAGGTTCAGTCAGGCTCTTGGGTGGAGAACAGATAGGGAGATGGTTTGAAAGGCAAGGAGTCCAGCTCCAGACTGTGGCAGCTGAGACAGAAGGGATCTGGACGAGAAGGAGCCATAAATCTAAGTGGCACAGAGAGGTAGAATTTGATAGGATTTCAAAGCCAGGGGCTCAGGGATCGAAGGAGAAGGAGTAGTTGGCTTGCAGGTGGCCATCTTAGCCTGGTTGCCTGGGAGATGGAGCTATCCCAGGGGTCTGGGGTGTGAGGCTTAGGTCAAGTGCAAAGGGCACAGTGAGAGAAGTGAGCATCCCCAGGGTCAGAGGTTGACTCTAGTTTTGGTGATGGTGCTGGGAGGTTCATGGCCCCCTTAATAGTAAACCCACACTTTAAATTAAATTAAAGCATTTTTAGTTCAGCTCCTCTCAGTGGACCCACACATGCATTCTCTACTTGTTATTACGGAGAATGACTAAGTAATATAATTGAGCTGAAAATAATCTTCCGCCCATACTTGCTGGGTTGGTTACTAAGTATTGCTTGGGTTTTTAAAGCAGCGAAGCAAAGTTGTGCTCTTTCCAAATGTCGAGTTTGAGGACTGCAGATGGTAACCATCTGTTCTGGACTAGCATTTTACAATATTTGATTAGCACTTTATATAGTCTGGGGAAGCCTGCCAGAGGAGCTGCCTGTCATGTTGGGACTGTAGTGTGTCCTCTGTGGTTGCCCTTCAGGGGCCTGCCCATGACAGTTTATGGGCTCCCTTCTGTGGACCAGGCCAAAGCAGGGCTAGTCAGAATAGTGACAGCAAGGACTTGAAGAGCCCCGTGTCCTTCTTAGACTTCCTTACAGCTGGAACCATTGAGGTGGGTCATAGAAGTTTGTGTGTTTGTTTGTTTGTTTGTTTTTGAGACCTATAGGCCAGGCTGTGACCGAGGATGACCTTGACTTTGTGATCTTGCGACCTTCGTCTCCCTAGTGCTGGGATTACAGGCCTATACCATTATACCTTCTGTTTGCAGTGTTGGAGATTGAGCCCAGAACTTCCTGCATGCTAGGCAGGTGCTCTACCTACTGAGCCACACCGCCAGCCCCTGGAAGTAGAAGTGGGGAATCAAGATGTGTCGAAATTCTTTGCATTGAAGGTGACAGAACCATCGTTCCAGGCTGGTTTGGTAGTCGGAGTGAATGGTCAGGCTATTGAGAGTTCTGGGGCCTGGGTTTCCTATGGGTGAAGTGTTTGGGGGCTTAAATGAGGTCTTTGAACTTTGTTCTGGCAAGTTCCAGCTCCGCTCTCTGCTTGGAGCCAAGAGTAGGCAAGATGGCATCCCTTGAAGACTTTCTGAGTCTAGTTGGGGAGGGAGTCTTTTCCGGCCCCAGCTGCTCATCTGTGAGCCAATCCCTGCACGTGTATAAATCCTGGGCTCTGATTGGTCAGGCAGGTTGGGCGCGTGTGCACCCTGAGTTCTGCGATGCTGGCGTTTACTAGGAGGGAGAATGGATAGCGGGGTGGTGGTGGTGGGGTGGGGGGTAGGGGGGGGGTGGTGGTGGTGGTGGACAGTTGCCGGTCAACTCTAGTGTCAGAGCACGAGCCGGAAGAACCATGAGGAGATGGCCAAGTTGCTCGGGAAGATGTGCTTGAAATAGGATGAGTGCAGGCTCCCCTGAACCCAGACTGTCACGGTTCCCTGTCAGTGCTGGGTGTCCGACAGAGCTAGTCTGGTTCTTTTTGGCCGTTCTCCCGCGCCTTGCTTCTTTAAAACAAACACCAGTCATTCAGTCTCTCCACCTTGGACTCTTCATCTGGCACACAGGGAGCCCCCTCCTCCCCGCCAAGCCTGTACTGAGGAGATAATGGGTCGATTGGATCAGTTCATCCAGTGCGAAGCCTGCTGAAGGCCAGGCACAGTGCGGAGGCTTGGGCGCAGCTCAGCTGCGGGAGCCTCCTGCATGAGCTGCGGGAGCCTCCTGCATGAGCTGCGGGAGCCTCCTGCATGAGCTGCGGGAGCCTCCTGCATGAGCTGCGGGAGCCTCCTGCATGAGCTGCGGGAGCCTCCTGCATGAGCTGTGGGAGCCTCCTGCATGAGCTGCGGGAGCCTCCTGCATGAGCTGCGGGAGCCTCCTGCATGAGCTGTGGGAGCCTCCTGCAAGGCAGCAGAGAGATTTTACTCCCACCCGGGGAGGGACAGTCAGAAAGGGCTTCAGAGGGAAAGGGTTCCACTGAGGGTCTGGGAAGGTAGCCCTGCCATGCAGAGCTGGAGAGAGCTGACGTCCTTGATAGTTTGGAGATTCTGGGAAGAGCTCGCTTGGTATCAAGTGTGGAAGAGAATGGAGTGACAGTGGAGTGTCACGTATGACACACACACACACACACACACACACACATGATAAATGAATTACACACACACACACACACACACACACATATATATATATAAAGAAAAAGTTCTTATTGAGTTGTGGGATCTTTGGGAAGAACACATATGATAGAGTGGTTTAGAGTCCATACTACTCTTCCAGAGGACCTGAGTTCGGTTTCCAGAATCCTCCTCAGGCAGCTCAAAATTGCCTGTAACTCCAGCTCTAAGAAATCTGATGCCTCTGTCCTCTTTGGGTACCACACTCACGTGTGCATACCCTCCCACAGACACATTCATGTTATAATTAACAAATAATAAATCTTTAAAAAATCAGGCAATATAAACGTTTTGAAATGTCCTATGGTATGCCATGAATGTGCATACTTCTTAAGATTCATGTAATAGCTGAAAAACAGATTCAATTTTTAGTTTGAAAACATGGAGTCCATAGACAAAAGAAAACATGGCAGACTGTTCCGCTTACCCAAACCTTGGGAACATGTAAAGGAACCTGAGATGGGGAAGCCAGTGAGCAGCTCCTGGAGCATGATGGGAGGTGTGGAGCTCAAGGGAGTGCCGAGACGTCATTTTGGAGTGTATATGTGTTTTCTTCAATGTGGTGGTGGTTTCTGCAGGGGTGGACATGTGAAAAGTTACCAAATGGCTCACTGTAAATACATGCATCAATTGTATGTTAATAGCACTTTTTTCCTAATATCTAAATGATTTAAAATTATTTTTTATTTCATTTTATGGGCACATGTGTTTGCCTTCATGTATATATGTACCATGTACATGCTCGGTGTCTCTGGAGGGCAGAAGAAGCATCAGACCCTAGATGTACTTGGAGTTACAGATAGTTGTGAGCCACATATGGGTGCTGGGAACTGAACCCCGGTCCTCTGCAAGAGCAGCCAGTGCTCTTAACTGCTGAACCATCTCTCCAGCCCCTAAAACAACAAAAACAACAAAAAAATTTTTTTGAGGCCGTATCTCACTACATAGCCTTTGCTGGACTGGAATTAAAGGCTTGTGCTACCACACCCAGCCCTATTTTTAAAAAAGAAAATTAAAATTACATCCATCTGTGTGTGGACATGTGTGGACACGTGTGTGCCATGACACTTTTATGGAGGAAAGGACAGCCTGAGGGGAGTCGGTTCACTCCTTCCAGCGTGTGGGTCGTGGGGACCAAACTCAGGTCCTCAGTCTCAGTTACAAGCACCCTTACCTACCCAGTCATCTTCCACGTCCCACGCCCCCCCCCCTTTTTTTTTTTACCGGATCCTGGAGCCAGACTGCCAAGGTTCAAATCTCAGATCGACCTCTTATCAGCTGTGTGAGCTTGGGCACGTTACCTGACCTCTCTGTGCTTAGTTTTTCTTAAGTCTGCATCCGTTTATGTGTTAGATGTATATCGTGCTCATTGTTATTAATGTCTCAGTAAAATGAAGTCACGTACCTAGTCCCGGCTTCCCCTTGGTCACTCTGTGTATAGCTGCTTCTTCATGGAGCCACCCTGTGCATTCCAGTCTGCTGAGCGTCTCATTAACATGCATCTATCTGGCTGGGGACCAAGACTGCAAGTCTGATGAGCTCCTGGTCTTGCCCGTTCTCTGGCTTTGGGACAATGCTTCGATTAGCAGCTTTGGAACTCCGGGCGTCCTGCCTTCCTGCCTGATGCCCTGACTAGGATGTATGTGGCTGTGGGCAGCCTTGTTGCCTCCCTGGGGTTTTCTGCTTATCACCTCCCTCACCTCCCACCTGAAGCTGAGCTTTAGCAGACTCTAGGCTGAGCTGACACATTTCCCTCTGCACTTGCGTTGCGTCCTTGTGGGCCTGCTCTATGCTAAGGCTAGCCCCAGCCCAGGGTGTAGGCGGCTGGGATTGGGCCACAAGGGGGCCCCGCCTCTGTGCAGATGGTTCACAGAGGGCTGGGATTGGAGGCCAGGGCCACTGTGGAACTGGCCTGATATCTCAGAAAGCGATGTTCTGTGTTTTTCAGGCGGGGCTCACAGATGGCCCCACTGCCGGGGGCAGAGCTGGTCCAGACACCGCTGCAGCTCTACCGTTACCTGCTGCGCTGTTGCAGGCAGCTGCCAACCAAGGGCGCCCAGGAGCACTACAAGCATGCTGTCCGGCAGGTGGGAGCAGGTCTGGGGGAGGTGTCTGCCGGGGGCCAGAGGCACGGGTGCCCGGGAGTGGGCCTAGAAGTTTTATAAGAAGCACTGCAAAAGTGGGCAGCTGGCCTCTGGCTTCCGTCGGTGCACAGTGGCTGCATCAGCTGGCATCACGGCGCTGTGCTGGGGCCTGAATGAGACGGCTCAAAGGAAAGCAGCACAGACTGGGGAGAGGCGGGAGAGATAACGCTGCCGTGAGGACCAGAGTTCAACACCCAGAGAAGGCTGGGGTGGTGACCTGCACTTGAAATCCCAGCGTTGGAGAGGCAGGAACAGGAGGATTGTGAGCCCCAGGTCCCACTAAGAGGACCTGTCTTAAAGAAATATGAATAAATAAAAGCAGAACAAAGTTTTGTGGACCTCCAGGAAAGGCAAGCAGCTCTAGATTAACCAAGACGAAAGCAATGTCCCAAGTAAATGGAAGGCGTGACATGTGGCCGATGGGAAGTAGAATACTGGCAGTGGATTAGGTAATGGTTGTATGGATGTTAATTTTTTGGAGTTTGATTGCTGTGGTCTGTAGAGGGTGCCTTTGTTAGGAAACAGAGAGTTTTGTAGGGGATAAGGGCACAGTGCCTGTAACTTACTTTAGATGCTTCTATATAAAAAGGGTGGTAAAGCTAGCATGGGAAAATGTTAACTGGGAAGTCTGGTTTGGAGTTCTTTGCACATCACACTACCTTTCTATAAGAAATCACTTCTGGGACTTGGTCAATGGCTCAAAGGTTAAGAGCATTGGCAACTCTTCCAGAGGACTCAGGGTCTGTTCTTTGCTCCCGAGTGGCAGCTTCCGGGGATCCAGTGCCCTCTCCTGGCCCCTGCAGGTACTGCATGTGTGTGGTGCACAGACAAAACACCCAGACCACAGACAAAATAATACAAATTTTAAAAAATTATAAGAAATCATTTCCAAACAAAGAGCTCAAAGCTAAACTTCATAAGATGTGGAAAATAAAAACAACTGGGATGTGGTGGTACACATCTTTTTTTTTTTTTTTGAGCTGAGGATCGAACCCAGGGCCTTGCACTTGCTAGGCAAACGCTCTACCGCTGAGCTAAATCCCCAACCCCGGTGCACATCTTTAATTCTGGCACTCAAGAAGCAGAGGCAGATGGCTCTCTCCAAGTTCAAGGCCAGCCTGGTCTACATAGTGAGTTCCAGGCTAGCCAGGGCTACATAGTGAGACCCTGTCTCAAAAAGAGAGAGAGTGGTAGCAATAGAAGGCTGTGGGAGACAGAAGGGAGGAATTAGCTTTGGGGGAGTCAGGGAAGATTTCCTTGAGGTGGCACAAGGTGGGCTCCTGGTAAGCAGGTGAATGTGAGGTTGGGAACACAGGTAAGGGACGGGGGAGCCCATTGTTCTGGAAGAACCCTGAGGTTCACCACACCAGTGAACCAAAGTCGTAGGTCACGGGTCACAGGCCTGGCTGGATTTCCCAGGATCTCCTGCCCCTCTGCCTTCCTACCTTTCCCCGTTGCTCCCCCAGCACCAGCACCTGGGGTGTGTGTGTGTGTGTGTGTGTGTGTGTGTGTGTGTGTGTGTGTGTGGTGGGCGCGCGCGTGTGTGCAGTCCCTCCCCAGCACACTTTGATCGAAGCAGATTCCTTTGCTGATCAAATCAGACCCAGGGCTGATTGAGGACTCCCGTCGGCCATTGTCACCTGCTGGATGATCACCTGCCAGATCACCCGCGGGCCCAGAGCCCGGCCTCCTTCTCATCCTCCCCGCTGGCTGTCTCATAGACTAGGACTCAAACGCTGCTACCTAAGAGCAGCAGGGTCGCCTCTCCAAGCCTCACCTCCAAGTGGGCAGGATGAGCACACCTCAGCAGGGCTAAGCAGGTGACCAGCGCCCCGCAGCCTCTCGGGACTGTGCGCTGAAGTTGCGAACCTTGTGAATTTCGCTTGGCCATGTTCTTTTATGCTGAAACTTACAGGGTTTCCGGGTTCACTCAGATGAAGATAACCCTGAGAGAATCCTGCAGATTATTAAAAGAGCCATTGAGGATGCCGACTGGATCATGAACAAGGTGCGTGCTTGCTTGGCTCCGGTGATGCTCTAACCTCCTCGGCCACTAGGGGACGCCTGCGAGTCACAGTTGAAAACAGGCTGCCCATGCCAACAGTTCTCCCAGGATGATCTCTTATGGTTGCATTCTTTTCCAGCACCCTTAATCCTGAAAGGCCATACCACTGCCTAGCAGTGCCAAGTGAGCTGACATGGGCACAGCTGTATCTGGCTTGCGGGAAGCTGTCTTAGTCTGTTCTCTGCTACTGTGATAAAACACTGGCAGAAGCCGCCTTGGGGCAGGAAAGGGTTTATTTGGCTTACGGGCTATAGTCCATCACCAAGGGAAGCTGAGGCAGGAACGGAAGCAGACACCACAGAGGAAGGCTGCTAACTGGCTCGCTTCCCACGGCTTTCTCAGCTACCTTTCTTATATGCCCCAGGACCACCTGCCCAGCGCTGGCACTGCCCACAGGCACGGACACAGGTCGATCTGATGATGGAAGCAATTCTTAAATTGTGGTTGCCTTGTCCCAGGTGACTGGTTTGTGTGACCTTGACAAAAACTAGGCTGCTGTCTAGGACCTCCACCTGGACTCTGTGGAGAACTGGAGTGTACCCCCAGATTCTTGTCCTCCTAACTCAGATGCTCCAGATGTGGGGTTTAAAGTCCATTTTGTGAAACTCAGATTTTGACAGGGCATTTAGCTGAGTGGTAGATTGCTTGCCTGGTGCACAAGCCCCTGAGGCATATCCCTGACAAGAAAACAGAAACAACAACAAAAAACCCCCCAAAACCAACAACAACAGAAAAAGAAACACTTTGGTGATTGGCTTTGGGGGCCTCCTCTGCCAGGGACTTTGCTCCCACAAACAAGACTCAGCTTAAGGACAAGCCCTGGTGAGTGCTTGTTGCTCGGTCCCAATACCTCCAGCTTCCCCATCTCCTTCCCTGAGCCCCTCAGCTTTTCCAGTAAAGAAGAAGGGCTAGGTACTGACTAGAGATGTGACAGTGGAGGGCGTCCCCATGGAGTCTCACCACCTCCCAGAAACCCCTGTGGGGGAGGTGGCGACACCTGTGAGACGTGACCAGAGTCCTCCTCCGCCGTCTTGCAGGATAAAAATCTCTTTCTCTGTCTTGCAGTATAAAAAACAAAACTGAGAATCCGCAGCTGGCAGCATGACTGTCCTGGAGACATTGGAACTGAGAAGCCTCTCTGCTTTTGGAGCTCAGCAGCAGCAGCAGCAGCAATTCTGGAATATTCTCTGACATTGTTGGCCGGAAGCAGGAAATCATAGCTGACATTTGGTCAAGTGGCTCTTGTCACCGAAGCCATGTTTCCAGCATCTGTTATGTCTGCTCTTCCATCCCGGAATGATATGCAATTTGGGGAGAACTTGGTGTTTTTTTGCTTCTTCTCTGTGTTTCTCATTTTTGTCTATCTGTTCTTTTTCTTTGCTCTGAAGGCAGTTAGTTTATTCTGGAGGTCCCTTTACCGTTCTCCGAGCCCCAGAGCTGATGTCCCCTCAGACGACCACCTGTACACAAGAAAGAGAACAGGCTTGAGAACCAGGCAGCTGTGGATCTGAATCCCAACCGGCATCCACAGCTGTGCTGTGTCCTCAATCTGCTAAGGTGCGGCTCCTGACACTGTCCCCACAACGTGCTCCAAGCAGAGGTCCTGGCCCTTGAGGTGGTGAAATGTATACCACGTGAGACTGGGAAGAGGATGCAAGCAGCCAGAGTAGGCACCAGAGGTCCAGGCTTCTGGGACGCCACAGTGTGTCCTCATGGCTCTCCCGGGCCTTGACTCTCAGGGGAGGATGAGAGGGAAGGAGAGGACAGAGAGGTCCAGGGAGGAGCGGCCCAAGTGGGTGAAGTAGCTGAACGACACAGAGAAGCCACACTGGAGTTGAATATTCCCGGGGCACTCAGGCAGCGGAAGAGCTAGTGCCTGCGTGTGTCCTTGCAGTTTTGTGAGTTGGAGTGACCTCTGTCGGTGCAGAAGGGGTCGACAGTACTGAGGCACGTGTGTCAGTTTGTGAAAGCTCTTTTTGTTTATTTATTTTAGACAGGATCTCACTGTGTAGCCCTGACAAGCCTTGAACTCTAGAGCTTTCAGCAATCCTCCTGCCTCTGCCTCCCAAGCTGCTTAGATTATAGGTGTGCCATAACACCCAGCTTATTATTATTATTAGCCTTTTTACATTTATTTATTTGTATGTGTGTGTGCGCATGTGTGTACATATGGCAACATTCATGTCATGATACACGTGGAAGTCAGAGGACAGTTTGCAGGAGTCAGTTCACTTCTGCTGTGTGGGTCCCAGAGAGTGAACTCAGGTCATCAGACTTGGTGGCAGATGCCTTTATCTGCTGAGTCCTCTTGATGGCTCTTCTTTTTTTTTTTTTTTTAAGATTAATTTATTTTATTTATGTGTGTGTGTGCGCGTGCCTGCACACGTTTTTATGTCCCATGTGTGTGAGGTGCCTTGGAGGCCAGAGGACTTGGGCTCCCTGGAGTTGCAGGCGGTTATGAGCTGCCCGGTGTGGCTGCTGGGAAGCTGACCTGGGTCTCTGCAAGAGTAGTTGGCGCTCTTCCTGCTCGCTCTCTCTAGCCCCGGTTATTTCCTCTTGACTGCCATTCTCCGAATGTGGATTGTTTCCCTGCTGCATGCTGTCAGACAATGCTAAGGATTGGGTGAGTCAGACTTCCACTCGCCAGCGGGGACCATTCCTCAGAGATGACCAGGTGCTGGTCCCACTGCTGGACAACATTGGCCAAGGCCAGCTTTGCCCTCTCAGGTGAGGACAAGGCAAAAGGGTCCGAGCAAAGCTGAGTCACCTCTGTCCCCACTGCTGTTGTCTGAGCCCAAGGACCAATCATCCTTGGTGATCATGGGAGCAGGGTGGCCATGTGCGCCACCATGCCTGACCTTAGGTAAAGGGTTTTTGTTGGTTTTTGTTTTTGTTTTTGGTATTTTTGAGACAGGGTTTCTCTGTATAGCCCTAGCTGTCCTGGATCTCACTCTGGAGACCAGGCTGGCCTTGAACTCACAGAGATCCACCTGCTTCTGCCTCCTGAGTGCTGGGATTAAAGGTATGTGCCACCACCACCTGGCTTAGGTAGAGGTTTTCGTTAGAAAGAACTGGGCTTAGAAAACGGGAATAGCACTGATTTGGGGACCTGGGGCTGCCACTCACAGGGATTGCTTGAGGGATGTGGGGGTCCCCTAATTATGAGGATTGTTTAAGAGGACTTTCCCATGTAAGATACAGATCAGTGTCCAGGTTATCCCTGAGACTTATGGCATCATCCTATATCTGGTGGGGTGTCCCTTTTGATAAGGAACAAGGGACAGACACTTTTTACTTATTGATAGCGAGGATGAAAAACTAAGTGAGTCTCCATGAATGTGTCCCTATTATTTTATCCCCCAAGATGTCTTCTCCAGGTGTGTGTGTGTGTGTGTGTGTGTGTGTGTGTGTGTGTGTGTGTGTACACGCTTGTGCACGAGGAAGGCAGGGGGTAATGTTGAGTGTCTCCTTCTATTGCTCACCTTTTTGATACAGGGTTTCCCTGTGTAGCTTTGGTGCCTGTCCTGGATCTTGCTCTGTAGACCAGGCTGGCCTCGAACTCACAGAGATCTGCCTGCCTCTGCCTCCTGAGTGCTGGGATTTAAAGTGTCACCGCCTGGCTAGGAATTAGTTCTATAGCACGCTTATACTGGTGTGTCCCGATGCCCCTAGTTCTATTGACTAGCCCAGGTACAGTGTGTCCCCCAGAGCAGTCTCCTGTGTCATCTTGGTTATCAGTGTCCCCAAGACTTAGAGAGTCGATCTCAAGTTTTGGAGGAACTCATCAAGAGCTGCAGCCCTGGGAAGGCTACTCGGGGAGCCTGGACAGAGTTGAAGCTCTGTAGGATGCTGAGTCTTAGGAACAAGGACCACAAAAGAGAAAGGTGAGTGTTGTTGAAACATTTCCTCAGCAGAGAGAAATGGGCACACACTCCTGAGGAGGAGCGTTGGGTATTTTGACTAAGTCAGGAGGATCTGGGGCCAGGGTCACAAATTTATGTGGCTACCCCAGGCTTTGACTATAAACTTTGCAATTTTTTTTTTTAAGTTTTGAATTGTTCCAAATTTTAAAGCTTTTTTTTGGTGAAGCATTTATTTATTTATTTATTTATTTTTGAGTGTTTGTGTTTATGTGCCAAAGTACTCAGGTCATCAGGCTTGGTGGCAAGTGCCTTTACCTACTCAGCCATGTCTTTGGCCGGAGCTTTTCACATCTTCCCCTTGACTGACTTAAGATCCATCCCACTGATGTCCCTTGAAGTGAGTTATTGCCACCTGTTGAGATTTGTACTACCTGGGAGTGTAGTAGGATTAGATCTTAATGCTTTATTGGAGGAAACTTCAGCATTTCCCTTCCCCCAGACAGCAGTGTGGCCGTGAGTGCTAGAAACCCAGCCCGGGAACCTGTGAATGTTGATGGTCAGCCTTCTAACTGTAGGCAGTGACCTCACTTTGGGGGCAGGGATGTAAGGAGGGTGGGTGTTGCCTCTGTGGCACGGTAACAACTAAGTGCTTACTGTATACCCGGACTTTCCAATGCCTTTACAATAAAACTGCTAGCCCCTGTACGCCGTCTAGCCTCGGGTAATGAAAATGGGTAGCTGAACTCTGGTCATCTGGAGTGGGTTTGCTCAGTGATCTCTACACATTGGTGTCTACAGAAGTCTGCAGAGGTTGGGAACACTATCTGAATTTCCAGTTAGACACACCTACGTTGTAATGTTGGGAACATGCAACAGGAGGGCTGGCACTTGTCAGTCTCTCCCCAGTAATGTTCCTTGACCTCTAAACTGTCTGGACTTGGTCTCTGAGTCTCTGTATGTTGTCCCAAGGTTAGTTTGATAATCTCAGTAACTAGCTGTTGTGTGACTTTTCTTGGGGAAACATCTATTTATCCCAGAGAAAGAGGATGCGGACTGATCAAAGACCCTGAGTAAGTCCAGCTTGGTGAGCCAATAAATTTATTTGGGTTACTTACAGGAGTATTACCAGAGAGGGCCTCAGGGTGTCCCATGATGTGATATCCCTTTGTATCTCAGCCAAAGAATGGAGTAAGACACATGTTACCGGCGAGTTGGGCTCCCTCTTGCTGGTTCTTAGTCTCGTGGATAAAAGAATTTTAAAATGGAGTCCGAAGGAAGCCTGAGAGGATGATGATGGGGTAAGCTGTCAGTCCTGGCAGACAGCTGGGGCGTGGAAATGCAGACGAAAGCCATGACTGAGTCAGGGTCATCAGCGGAGGTCTGCGAGCAGCTGTGGCTTCGGAAGGAGAGTTCAGAGAAAAGTAGGTAAGCCCCCTTATCCAGCGGTCTAACAGGGTGTGGGCAGGTGAGTCACCACTGAGAGGGCTCAGCGGCTGCGATTGGAATCTCAGGGGGCTCAGTTGTGACTTTCCCCTTCATTCCATGATGGAATATTGATAAGCCCCATCTTGTGATGGTCTCGTGCAGTGGTCCTCAACCTTCCTAATGCTGCAACCTTTTAATACAGCTCCTCCTGTTGTGGTGACCCCCCAACCATAAAATTATTTCGTAGCTACTTCATAACTGTAATTTTGCTACTGTTACGAACTATAAAGTAAATATCTGATATGTGACCTCTGTGGGGTGTAGCACGAATCTTAAAAGTTCTTACTAATAAAAACAAACCCAGAGCCAGGTATTGGGGTAAATGCTGGAAGATCAGAGAAGCAGAACAAGCCACAGCCACCTCACCTCACCAATTCCTCAGCTGATCCTATTTCCTCAGACTGGAAGTCTCTGAATCCTCATCCAAATGCATCTCAGCTAAACTGCTGCTCAAAAGCCTAAAAGCTTAACCAGACTCTAGTTCCTTGTCCTCATGCCTTAAATGCCTTTCTGTTTTCTGCCATCACTTCCTGGAATTAAAGACTCACTTCCTGGGATTAAAGGCATGAGTCACCATGCCTGACTGTTTCCAGTGTGGCTTTAAACTCACAGAGATCCAGGCAGATCTCTGCCTCTGGAATGCTTGGATTAAAGGGGTGTGTGCCACCATTTTCTGGCCTCTATGTCTAGTGGCTGTTCTGTTCTCTGACCCCAGATAAGTTTATTAGGTTGCACAATATTTTGGGGAACACAATATCACCACAGTGGGGTTGTGACCCACAGGTTGAGAACCACTGATCTAGTAGGCTCATCATCAATACTCTGTTTCAGAATGGTGATGGATATGTTCGCGCTGGGGGAACATCCTCATTGTCCTAGCAGAACAGTTGCAGCCCCTGCTCTTGAACAGGGTCTCGGCCGTGCCCCCCACCCCCCACCCTGGCCCTGGGTCATTGAGTGTAGTTGTTTGGAAAAATGAGCCATTGTCTTGACTTGCCTTGCTCCTTTGTTACTGAAGTTTTCAGGTAGAAGACAGGACTCTTGTAGTCCCAACCAGTTAGTCTTAGTCACCTCCCCCAATAAGCGGATTACAGAGGCAAGTCCTGGTGAGAGCAGAGGAAGGTTTGTGGGGCGTGGCCATGGTGGGAAGGGGAACAAATAAAGGGCCTAGTTATCACCAGCCAAAGAGACACGTCTCACGTCGTCGTACTGACCCCTGCCTGAGGGGTTCATTCTGGAGACCTCCACTCACACAAAACTTGTGGCTTTGACAGAGAAATGAATGTCAGGGTGAGCCAAATGTGAAACAAAGTTAGATTTATTAAAAGCAGGAGAGAAGGGCTGGGAGAGAGGGAGAAGGAAAGAACCCAATAGGGCGCGTGTGGCTTCTCCAGGGACATTTCTTCAGAGGGCATAGACAAGGTTTTAGTGGCTCCGAAGTCACATCTTTAAAACTATTAAGAACCCCTCTTCACATTGCTCAAAGAATGTAGCTTCAACATGGCTACAGTTTAAAGAATTTCAGCTGGACGTGGTGCACACCTGATCCCAACACTCAGGAGGCAGGCAGATCTCTGTGAGTTAGAGGCCAGCCAGACCCACATAGTGAGTTCCAGGACAGCAGGGGCAACAATGTGAAAAGACAAAAAAGAGAATGACTTTCTGTAAACAAAGTTGTGAGATGAATGTGAGGACACTGTTCAGGCTCGGGGAAAAGAGGGGCTTTTTACCGTCCTTGACAAGATGTCTTTAGGAAAATACAGGTTGTCTCTGTGAGCAATTTTGGCTTTATCAGTGATGGCTGAAAATTTTCAACTTCATCAGCAGGACGGGTAAGCCAGACTCTTGTTATGCCCACCCTCCCATGTTTTTCCTGTCTTCCTGTCCTGCCTGCCAGTGACATCAAGTCCCTCTTCAGGATGCTGACATGAGGTTTACCTTTCAGTGGATAAGAGGCGTGCATAGCTAAGCAGTCCCAGTCAAGGTGTGGTCCAGCCCATCATGGATTTAACGAGGTGATCCAATAGGCTGCTGTTAATCTGTCAACCATCTGTTCATTGTTGATCCCACAGCCACTTCCTCATCTGGGGGCAAGGTCTGTCTTAAGAAGTTTGCCCTTCCTGGAATGAAAGATGATTCAAGAGGAATGGTTAAAGACAGTGACATTTCTGCTTCCAAAGTCCAGACACCAAATGAAAGCAGAGATGCCAGACTTTTGTTAGTAAACTTGGGGTCATAGGCTCTACCTCAAGAAGCCAGGTTCGGCCACCTATCCTCCAGAAGCCAATTTAAACAGCCAATTCATAGCAAAAATCAGAAAAAGGATAGGGACTGGATAGCTGTCTCCGTGGTTAAGAGTGCTTGCTGCTCTCCCAGGGGACCCGAGTTTGGTTCCTACACCCACATCAGGTAGCTAGCTGACAACCAACTGTAATAACAGTTCTACTGCCCTCTTCTGGCCTCTGTGAGTACCTGTGTACACACACACACACACACACACACACACACACACACACACACACACACACACTTAAAAACAATAGAAACAAATCTTTGAAAAGGGGAGTACAGCTGGGTTCTTGACTCGTTCCTGAGTGATCACTTGGATGCTGTCTTCCACGATTTACTGATTTAATTATGCTCTTCTTTCTACCTGGTTCCATCGCAAGGAAAAGTTCCATTTCTTCCCTGCAAACCGGAGTGTGTCCAATCTAGGGTGTTTGGATGGTCTCAGAAAGTAAAAGTGAGCTCAGTGTGGTGGTCCATGCCTGTAAGCTCAGCTCTTGGGAGGCTAAGGCAGGAAGATCAAGGAGTTCAAGGCTAGCCTGGGCTACATGAGACCCTGTCTTAAAAACAAACAATGAACCAACAGCAAAAAGAACAGCCAAACTAGGTAGTGTGAGGTGTTGTGATGACTTATTCATTTCTGTCTTGTGTATGTGAGTATTTGCCTGTGTGTGTGCCTCTGCACTACGTGCATGCCTGGTGCCCACAGAAGCCGGAAGAGGACATCACATTCACTGGAACTGGAGTTACAGACCATTGTGAGCCATTATGTGGGTGCTGGGAACTGAACCCTGTTTCCTGTAAGAGCAGCCAGTGCTCTTAACCTCTGAGCCATCTCTCCAGCCCCAGTATAAAGTGTTTTAGAAGAGGCAGAACCAGTAAGTGGAGATCCTTGGCTTATAGAGATTGGACTCTGGATTGGGAAGGGGGATCTCACACTGGTGAGACCCAGCTGGATTGTTCAAGGACCGCAAGGGAGCACACAGTGAAACCACCAGACCAGACCTCTCTGTGGGTAGAAAGACAGGCTCACTGGGGATCAAACTGCCAAGGCTGTCTTGGGGTGATGGTGGGGGTGGCAGGGAAGAGCAAAATGGTGGGAAAAGCAAGCGGATTGTATATGGCAGTCAGCAAATGGAGGGGCTTTGAGCTGATCCGGGTATGACTGACCTGGAACTAGATGCCCTTGCCTGAGGTAGCTGACCTTTGGAGTAGATTAAGGGGAATTCCCAGCAGATAATGGATTAAGGGAGGTTCCTGGTAAACAGAAACCTGCCTTTTGGCTTTGACTTGTGTTTTCCCAGCCAAAGACCATTTAGGACATTATCACCAGCACCGCCACTTTGGGGTGTCACTTTGGCCCTGACGGCAATCAAGAATTCTTTTCCTCAGAGGCTGTTCAGAGATCATAAAAGTCAGGTTTGTTGAGGTCATGGAAGAAATGGGAGCCGGTGTGGAAAGGAAGATGGGGAAGGAGAAAGGAAAAAATTGAAATCCACAGCAGGGGATTTTCACATGCCACCTCAGTCACCTACCAGTGATTTTTTAGCCCAGGCTGGCCAGTCCTAGGGAGGTCTGCCTCCTGCTGCTCCCCCGGCTTGAATGCAGTAGACTATAGCATCCTTACTCTTAACACATGTGATACCAAGATTCAAATGGGTCCAAAGTCCTGTGCCCCAAGTCAAGCACGATGGGTCAGCATCTTGTGTCCTAACTTGAATGGGAATTAAGAGAGAAAAGAATTCTAGGAAAAAGTGGGGTACATTCTTCCTGCTCAGCCAGATCACTGTCAGGCTCCAGGGCCATAAGCAATGGTGTCAGCCGCTAGCCAGCTGACCCAGCATTCTGGGAATTCCCCAGCCGCCAAGAAAGACAAGAAAGGGAGTGTGGCTTATGCACTTTGATATTTGGAAACCAGGAAAGGGAGAGGTGGG